TCAGCCTCTCCAGTCATTCTCCTATTAGTAACCAGGGGCGTGTCAGCCTTTGTAGGCAGCTAGAGGGCAGAGGGTTGGAGTCTGTGCCACGATACCCGAGGAAGCTAATCATACTCGTGACCTCGACCTCATTAACATGGTGCTGGCAGAGAGCGAGCCAGCATTCTGTAGTATTGTTTGACTTTGGATCTTCTCTACTGATTTGTGCTCGTGGGGTCCATATTCCTGCCCCCTCAGGGAGCCTGATAGGTAGAGGAGCCGGAGGAGAATGTGAGAGACGTCAGTACTTACCGCCTCCTTTTAACTCCCTAAGGTGGGGCTTTGGATTGTCAGCTGTCACTGGGCCCCGCTGATGGTGATTTGGCTCCAAGACAAAGCAAGTCTGAGAAGACTTGTGTAAGGATTGTGAGGGAAGAAGGCCTCTTAGAGTGTGGGGTCGCAGTGGGTGAGCTGGTGAGCTGGTGGCTGTACAGGTGGGGTGAGAGTCTCCCCGTGGTGGCGCTCTCCGTGCCTTAAAGCAGGGCTTCTCATGCTGGAAGGTGCACAGGAATGATCTGGAATCTTGTGAAATGGCAGATTCTGATGAAGCAGGCCTGGGCTTCTGCATCGCTGATAGGCTCCCTGTGAGGCTGGTGCCGCTGGTCCTGTGGAGCAAGGCCTCACATAGACTGGGACACGACTGAGGCTACGGATTAGTCAGGCGGAGACTCAGACGTGTGAAGGCTGACACCAGGAGGGCACCTGCAGGGTCTGGTTTAGAGTTTGCTGCCTGCTCCTTGGGACTGTCTTTATTGGGATAACTCTGAGGGCTCTCAACCCTGTCACTGCCATTCCGGCCTGTAACAGCCCCAAGGAGCAGCTGTGCTCGGGGATTCCCTTCCATCCTTAGGGCAGGGAGGGAGGTCATGGGAGGTCTTCCAGGTGGAATATGGTTAAGCTGAAGGGAGAGGTTTTGTTTTTGCTACATTTTAATCAAATTGACTTCCTCATTACCTGATGATTATATTCCATAATTTTAACTACTTAAAGAAGGCTCTGACTTCCTCCAGTTAAGCCTGCCTTTTCACACAGACCCTATCACTTTGAAGTTATGTGACTGCAACGTTTTAAAAAGTTACATATTGTTTCCTTTGGAACGTTGTTTCTGAAACTTGCCTGACCCTGTGCTGGGTGCTGGTTAGACCTATGTGTTCTCAGACCCTGCCCTGGAGTTTTGACCTCATAGCTTTGGTGTGGGTCCTGGGAATCTGAATTTTTTAAACAAAGTGTCTGGATGGTTTTTATAATTGGGCATGTTCTAGAAACACCATTTTCGAGAAACAGCAATTTAGAAACCTGTCCATCTGAGCCTGTGTTATCAGCCATGTCTGAGGGGCACCTTTACCTGTTCTTTTCTTGGCCTCTTAGATACTTGGTTGTGAAGGGCTGGCTTTTGTCCCATTGGACCCACTTCAATTTTTATCTTGACTCATGTTTTCATTCTTACAGAAAGGCTCTTTTTTTTATCTTGGATGGGACCAAATCAGAGTCCCTTGTCAACAGTGTAAGAGCCAGTTCTGAAGCCGTTATATTTAGGAAGGTTTTACAGACACTGATTATTAAGTGCTTTGGGGCATTCTTGGAGATACTGGGCTGTACGCTTTGGGCCTCTGCAGAGAAAGGTATGTCTTGAGGCCGACTTCTCCCACTCTCTCCCCTGCTTGGGTTCAGACACTGGAGACAGAGCGCTTCCTAAGTAAGCGCTGACCAGAAATGGATGGAGAAGGGATCCTCATCCTCCAGAGGCAGTTTGATTCTGACACAGGTGAATTGACAGATGGAGGAGATGGACTTTGCACGTCATTATTTCAACATTTACCTCCATTTTTACAAATGCAGGATCCATCTCACCTCCATCCTAGGAGGTGGAGGTGTTTTTATAAGCTGCCACTTACGAAACAAATGAAGTGGGAAGTGGTCAGTGTGATGGGATTGGAGGAGTATGGAAGGGGCTCTGTAGCGAAAAGCTGGAATTCACTTATTGTTGTGCCTAAAATTTTACCATTAGAGGAATTTGGGCAAAATGGTTCTCTTTAAACCTCTTATTCAACATGTAAGCATCCATAGAACAGGCACTACATTAGCTACTTAGGACTTAACAGGAAGAATTTCATAAAATGCCAGCAAAGATCACGGTATGAAGAGAGTGGACTGTGATGGGTGAAGTGTGGGCACTGTGAGGTCAGGGCTGGGGCAGGGCCACCGAGGATAGCTCAGATGTCCGGAGGAGCCCAGGATACCTGGTGGGGCACTAGGCAGAACTAATTCTCATTCACTTAGTGTGTGTGTGTGTTTGCACGCGCACGCTGTGTAATAGGGGCTTTAATATCTTTGATGATGCATCTGGCATACTTCTTTCTATCTAGTGTGGCCATTTCACATATACCTGACCAGATGTAATGAAAAGCCAGGTGATCTAGATGTGAAAGTTAAGGTTAAACACCGTAATTGTGCTTGGGATTATGTTGCTCTTTTTTTTTTAGTCTATTTAATTTTGAGAGAGAAGCTCAGGAAATGATCCAGTTTCTTTACCTGCTTATCAGGAGAACTTGGCCAGCAGCAGAAACCTTTCCTTCTCCACTGAGGGCCTTTTCCCAGTCAGTTTTTTTGTTTGTTTGTTTGTTTTTGTGGTACGTGGGCCTCTCACCGTTGTGGCCTCTCCTGTTGCAGAGCACAGGCTCCAGATGCGCAGGCTCAGCGGCCATGGCTCACGGGCCCAGCTGCTCCACGGCATGTGGGATCCTCCCGGACCGGGGCACGAACCTGTGTCCCCTGCATCGACAGGCGGACTCCCAACCACTGCGCCACCAGGGAAGCCCTCCCAGTCAGTTTTGAGGAGGGCTTGACTCTTCTGAGACCTCATGCCACCTAGAAAGTGCTTTAGGGCATGGTTTCTCTCTCATAGCTGAAAAAAAAATTTACATTTTAAAGAATTTCTCAGCTCTTAGCTGGCTGAAAGAAACTCTGAACTTGGCCATTCTGGTGTCCAGCTGAAGCTTGTCTGAGTGGTCTAGGGTGTTTTCAGAATAGCGTGGAGATGGTGGGGAGAGTCTTTTTGCCACTGCTTGACGAACAGAGAAGTTACACAACACAGAGAAGTTGTGGCCCAGGGACCACAACTCTGGGAACTTTTACAAACTGACCCACTCCAGAAAGAAACTTGACCCTTCAATGAAACCACGGGCGCTTTCTGGATGGCTTCATTGTTTCTTTTCTGGAGTGGTCAGATTCTGTATCTGGGGGGGAGGAGAAACATTGTCCCTGTTCCTGAAGCTGGAGTTTCCTTTGTCTATTCTGAAATAAAGGAGGGCCACAGAAAAGGATGGGGCATTTCTTAGGGAAATGAAATTCTCCCGAAGTACTACATCCCCACTCCAGAGGTGGGCCCGTGTACTCTTCCCCGTGGTCCACAGAGCTAGCATCATTTCTAAGTATCGATAAAAACAGCATTGTGTGGACTTCCCTGGTGGTCCAGTGGTTAAGATTCCACACTTCCACTGCAGCAGGCACGGGTTCGATCCCTGGTTGGGGAGCTAAGATCCCGCATGCCTTGCGGTGCGGCCAAAAAACCAAAAAAACCAAAGAAAAAAAACCCACCCCCCAAAAAGCTTTGTGTATTTCCTTTTAAGCATAAATGGACATCACAGTCCCTGTAGAGCGTGAGGCCTTGAGCACGGAGGTGCTGTTGGGGTATCAGACGGGGCTATCTCTGTACCCTGTACTCTGCTCACTGCCACCCCCGTGCTGGCACTGCCCCCACTTAGTGCTTGCTGCCTTTAGGAAGCATCAGAATCACCTGGAGTCTGGTTAAAACACACACTGGCTGGACCCTGCTCCTGGAGATTCTGAGTCACTAGGTCTGGGGTGGGCCGAGAATTTGCATCTCCAACACGTTCCCAGGTGGTACTGATGCCTCTGGTCTGGGGAGCACAAGTTGAGAAGCACCGTGACACCAGGCACTTCTCCACCTTCTGGAGGAGGGTGTGTTGGCACAGGCAGACTCTGCTCCTGATGGCGTGTCTGCCTGGGTGGAATCACTTAATGCCGGAGGAACCTGTAGTTGAGAAGCTGTGGTTCACTGGAGGGAGCCCTAGCCCTGTCTTCTTACCCTGGGGCCTTCTCTCCTGGTCGTTCCCACAGAAGACCAGGGATGTGGCATTTGGGGTAGCTGAGGGGGGCATTCCTTGCCCCCTTGCAATCCCTTCTCTCTGATGTTGCAGAAAACTTTCTGGACCACGCCACTCTCCTACAGGAGACCCTTCATGGGCTTGCCATCGGCCTTAAGAGAAAGTCCAAACTCTCCTAAAATGACTGCCAGTCTCCCTCTCGGCCTCTGAAATACTCCTTTTTCTTGTCAGCTTACTATGTTCTTGCTTCCTGGGCACCTGTTTTGCTGTTTCCTCTGCCTAGTATGCTCGTAGTCTGGCCACCTCTTGCTTATCAGACCTCAGCTTAGCCATCACCTGCTCTGGGGAGCTCCCTTTGACCTCTCTGGGGTCAGCTGGTGCCTCTGCAAAGGCTCCATGTCACCTTGTATTTTCCTCACTTCAACTTCTCTCAGTTGCGTCAAGGTCATGATTACCACCCATTTACTTCTCTGTCTTTGTGGACTGTCGGCTCCCTGAGGGCGGGGAACCCATGACATGGTCATTCACATGACTCCAGGCTTGGCATGGTGCCCGGCATATTGAAGGCCTTCTTGATCATTCTGTGAGATAGCTATGGCGGGGAGGAAACCAAGACACAGGTAGATTACGTGCCTGGCTTACCATTACCCTCCGAGTTAAACACCAGGATTATCACCCACTTCTCTGATCCAACCCCTTGGCCAAGTGACGCTGGCCAGGTTTTCTGCTTTGAGACCAAGGAGCCTTAGGCAGGGTCTGCAGGTCTCTACTGGGGCTGTTAAAAGACTGGCTATTCCAGGTTAACAGAAATGGCCCTCTCCTGTTGTTTTTCAGGTAAACTGGGAAGCAAACTCTTGAGTTCACAGCTGGCCTGTGGTTTTTGCATCTCATCAAGGAGCTCCTCCTCGTACAGGTAAGGGGTTGCTTCCTGGATCTGCTCATGTTCAGGCTGGTTGTGGGAAAACTCCAGCCATGCAATGTACTCTGATAACCACCCCAAGTTCTCATGCATTAAAAAGAAAATCCTTAAATATAGGGTGGCAGCTCCTCTAAGAAAGGTGTAAAGGGACTTCCCTGGTGGTCCAGTGGGTAAGTCTCTGCGCTCCCAATGCAGGGGGCCCGGGTTCGATCCCTGGTCAGGGTAATTAGATCCCACATGCGTGCCGCAACTGAGAAGTCAGCATGCTGCAACTAAAGAAGTCCGTATGCTGCAACGAAAAGATCCTGCATGCCGCAACTAAAAAAAATAAAGATCCCACATGCCGCAACTAAGACCTGGCACAGCCAAAAAAAAATAAAAAATAAAAAAAAAGAAAGGTGTAAAGTGGTTACCTGCCCCGTCAAGTTATCGGGTGAAGGTGTTTATTGACCGGCCTGGCTTTCTCCTGGATGTTGCTGCCCGTCTCAGTGCCCAACGCTCTTTCCTTTTTGCTGAGCACCTTCACCTCTCCATTTGAGTTGGTGCTTTAGAATTCCTTTTCCTCATTTAAGACTCAGCCAACGTTTCACTTGTTATTTACAAACTGTCTGAAAGAGAGGGTGTTGGGAGCATAGCCTTTTCCCAGCTTTCCAGCGGAACGAATCGCTGCCCCTCTGCTGACACAGCACACTGCACGCGCCCGTGGTGAGCTTTACTTACTTGTTTGTACACGTCTTTTCCCCCAGTGTGTGAGTTCTTTTTGCTACCATCTCCAATCTCGCATGGTTTCTGGCATGGAACAGACTTTCAGTAAATGAGTGAATGTTCATCTGAGGAGAAAAAAAAAAAAAAAAAAAAGCCCTAGTAAACTAAACTGAGGCACAGCTACAAAAAAATGATAATGTGTTCCTAAGCCAATGAACTGATGTGTAGAGTGCCTTTTTGGATTAATGACATGGCTGTTTGCTCACATTACCACGGGTAATTGAGAATGTGCCATAATATGTTAAGTCGGCAGGAGTTTAGATTCTTACCACTATTGAAAAGGATGAGAAATCAGGAGTTTTTGTGTCATTGTCAGTAAGGTGCTAACTGACAGCCTGGGACCCTGAGCCACCAGCCCCCTTGGCTGTTCCGGGAGAGACATCTGTCTGCCAGCCCCTGGGAGTCTTGGGCAGCCCCAGGATTGAACGTGTAAAACCAAATGTATGGCAGTAAGGGAGCAAACAATTGACTTGACCAATTTATAACCCAGAGGAAATAAAAATATTCCTAAAACACAGTTTAGGTTTAAATAATTTTAATAAAAGCTTTTAAATCATGCATTTCCATTTCCCCTGTAGTCTTAATATGCTGGGATCTTTGAGAGACACATTGATTGGCTTGATGCCATTTTGCTTCATCCTGTGGGTTGGGAGTAGCAACCCCCAGGGCAATGGTTCACCTGAATCTGGAGCCAGAATGGGGCCTGGGTCCTTTTAGGAACTGGCAGGTGGCTGAGTTCCCAGAAGCCAGGGTGGAGGTGGGGCGGGAGGGACTTCAATCTGATTAAAGACCACATTCACACAGGAGAATGCGGTCTTGAGTGTTTGTTCCTGCCTTTTTAAAAAAAATTTATTTATTTTTGGCTGCGTTGGGTCTTCGTTTCGGTGCACAGCCTTCTCACTGCTGTGGCTTCCCTTGTCGTGGAGCACGGGCTCTAGGCGCGCAGGCTCAGTAGTTGTGGCACACGAGCTTAGTTGCTCCGCGGCATGTGGGATCTTCCCGGACCAGGGATCAAACCCGTATCCCCTGCATTGGCAGGCGGATTCTTCACCACTGAGCCACCAGTGAAGCCCCCGTTCCTGCCTTCTTATCCTGCCTCTACACGAACAATACTCATTGTTCAGCCTTTCCATTTGCTTTGTTTGGGTGTGTGCAGCACGAAAGCAAAGAGAAAGAAGTTGTTTTCTGGTTTCTGGGTGTGCTTTCCACAACTTAGTAGAAGTACCAGCCAACTAGTCTCACATAAAAGAAGCGGTCACGTCTCCATGGTTTCTTCTGCTTGGTGCTGAGCCCCAGCCAGAGAGCCGCGTGAAGGAGAAGTTAGTGAAAGGCAAAGCAGTAGAGGAAATTTGACTCTCCCCTGACCCTGTTCATCTTAAAGTTTCGTAGGGCTTGGGTAGAGGGAGGGTTTCAGCTTTGGCCAGGTATTTCTAGTCTCCATGGACTCCATTTTGTCTATCATACTTGAAAAATAAACGAAGAAAATTACAGTTTAAAAGCCCAGATGTTAATATATGAGTGAGTTTTAGCTTTTTAGTAGGTTCTGGAATTTGAGATATTACCAACTGTCTTCTGTTGTACCATGCCTGCAGAAGCTGAGTGCAAGGTGGTGAGTATGTCTGGTCTTCATGCCGCCAAACACATGGGGAGTACTTCCCGACTGATAATAATTGGCCACTCACTGAGCTCCTAGGAGATCTCTGATTCTCTGAGCTTCTAGAAGATCTCTGATTCTCAGAGTGTCTCCTGTTTTATGATAACAGTTCTAATCTGGTTAGAAAAAAAAAAAAATGAGGCAGGTTAAGTCATCAAATTACTGAGCTGGTCCCCCTCCACTCAGGGCATCTCACACATCAGTGTGCGTTTGGGCACACTTCACAGAGCTCTCTCATTGAATCTTGACAACCCCACGTCATCCTAATTAGAAAGTCCAAGAAGTGACGTAGTTCCTGAATTTCCTTAGAGCTTCTGAACTTTGTTTTGGATTTCTAATGTGGTGTTCTTCTTTCATTCGATTGAATGGTTACTGTTTCTAAAGAACAGTTGTACTAAGAACTGCTAGTGCCCCAGCAGCAGTGAAATTGTGTATCAGGGTGCGCGAGCATGTGTGTGTCTGTGTGTGTGCGTTTGATATAGGCATTTTGGAGCCTTGGCCTTCATCCAAAGACACTGTCCAGCATGGGCCCCCTTGTATCCAGGGCAGACATTTGGGAGCAATCAGAGCAAAGGCAGCTAGCAGACACAGCAACTGGTCTGCTGGTCCCGGACTCCAGTGTCGTTAGCACGCTGGTCTCTGACCAGCCAGTTCCTTTCTTGCTGAAATGAGTGGGAACTCAGATTGCAGCTCCTGACAGATACACACACAAAGTGGCACGTCCCCCCTTAGGTGTATGGTTTTTCCGGGTGAAGCCTTTATCTTCAGCTTCAGGTGAGCCTTTATCTTATCTTTCTCTTAAAGAAGAAGCAAAATCTCCAAAATCGGTTTCCAAGTTTCATTGTAAAGCTGCACCCAGGTATTGACATCTCTGGGGAAGAGTTTGCTTTTTTCTACTTCCAGAACACAGTTGACACATAATTTGGGAACCACTTTCTACTTTGATCACGTCACTTGTCAGCTGTGATTTGATGGCTGGTTTGTCTTATCTACTATGGGAGTTTTGATATTGATGTGAAAGAAAAACTTAGAAGTACTTGTTTCCTGGGAACGTTGGTTTTAAATGGAATATCTTAAGCTTTTGCTTTACAAAAGGACTGTAAGTGTTGGGTTTTTTTTTTTTGTGTGTGTGTATTTATTTTTGGCTGCATTGGGTCTTTGTTGCTGTGCGCGGGCTTTCTCTAGGTGCGGAGAGCGGGGGCTACTCTTCGTTGCGGTGGGCGGGCTTCTCTTGTTGCGGAGCACAGGCTCTAGGCACGCGAGCTTCAGTAGTTGTGGCACGTGGGCTTCAGTAGTTGTAGCTTGCGGGCTCTAGAGCTGAGGCTCAGTAGTTGTGGCGCACGGGCTTAGTTGCTCCGCAGCATGTGGGATCTTCCCAGACCAGGACTCGAACCCGTGTCCCCTGCCTTGGCAGGCAGGTTCTTAACCACTGCACCACCAGGGAAGCCCCCTGTAGGTGTTGTTTTGATCACTCTCATGTCCTCTTTCAGTTACAAAATGACTATTTTCTGTTTCTTAAGAGTCTTTTTACAATTATTATGGATCTGAGTTGGAAGGAGGCCTTCAGATAACTAGATAATAAAAGTAACTTTTTCAAATAGGCAAAAGAGTGAAAACATTTTCTCTTCCATCTCTTAATGAGAAAGAGTAAATTCCCTGCATTTTAAATGCTTCCTTTTCTCTATAGAGCATTTCTTAGAAGGAACGGTTTCCGAGGCTTTCGGAATTCTCTTCTCTCGGGTTCCTTCTTCAAAGCTAGAGGCAGCCTTCGCTGGCTCCCTTTAGACTGATGCCACGGATGCTTATCTCTCCTCTCCTTTATTTCCTGGTGGGCAAGCCCTGCTGCTCACCTCGCCTGTGTTTTATGTGCCTGCCTGGGGTTGCTGCAGAGAAGTGCTTCTACCCTTTATGGCTACAATCTGAAAAAGAAAACAAACAGCTGAAGCTCCATCAAGTCCCAGCAGGCTGGGGAAGATAGTTCTCATCCTCCTTGTTCCTGGGTTCAAAGTGCACCTTGCATTTTACGGGGGTGATCAGCCCTCCCAGGTGCTGGTTTGAGTGGGCCTGCGTTTGAGCCTGGTGGACAGTTGACCACGCCGACCTCCTCCTCTTGCCTCTGCCTTTCTGGCTGAGTTGACATTACTGCTCCGAGTGGGAAGCAGCTGTTGCTCCTTTGAGCGGAGCACCAGGCAGGGGTGGGGGGACATTTGATCCTGTTCAAAGGGGATGTCTCTGAAGCATGAAGATTGAACTGATTGTGACCCCACCCGAGGGGGGAAGCAGAAGCGCCCTCTGGAGAGCCGGCCAGGAGGAAGCCATCAATTACTAATCCTGTTGGCCTGTGGGGTCTTCAGGGTCTCATATCCATTTAAAAGAGAGAGAATTAGCATTGAAGGTAATAAAATAGGCCTTAAATTAGAGGAGCAGGGGGTCATTCTTATCAAATTTTGTGGTTGTTATGGAGGAATAAAAGGCAGAGGAGATAATTTCATTAGCTCCTTTAAGATCTGTATCACAGGGCGATGGCATTTGGGGATGGAGCAGAGCCTCACAGGGGCTGGCCAGTTGCCTCCTG